GTTGTTTATGATAAAAAAAAAGTTTATTATGTACATTATATTAGGATGGCCAGTAATGGTCTCAGCATTATTCTTTATCGCTTTTCTTTCAATACCTATTGTAGAGGCTCGGCTTCATAAGTTAGGTTTGCAGATTGGTAGGAAGAAACCACACACACACCCCATTACAGGTTCTTACTCAAGAAAGAGAACTTGGTGGGGAACGAGGTGGTCTCACAGAGCAGGGCTGTAGCTGCACGTCGGTGGGCGGTTTCTCCCTCCATGGAGTGTGTTGTGACACTGAACTCTGAACAGATCAGTTGGATAAAAGTCACCATCCATTTATTCTCAGTTTTACATCACCATTCTGGAAAAATTATGCTCATAATCTAACTATTTTCATTACAATGAATGTCTACAACCATCAGGATCTTCTAGTTCTAGAAACCAACAGTGTCAACAAGACCGTCGTCAACCTGGGAGAAAAAGCAGAATCTATACCTAAGTACCATTGAAAAATCTTCGTGTCTCCAGTTTCCCAAGGTCCCAAAAAAACACACCTCCCCTCAAGAGGTGGACAAAAAATTTTTCCTTTTAGAATTAAGCACATAGGTGAGGAATGTATATGTGATAATTCCGACCATGATGGAGGCTGGGATGTAGTTTAAATTCTGTGAACGCTATGATAGGGAGAGTTGGCTCTTATCCATTGTTTAGGACAGCAATTAATTAACGAGTCAAGTTTTTGTTAACACTGATCTTGAACCCACTGACAACCTAATGTCATCAGCTTCCCTCTATTTTGGAAATCATGGATGCAAATATAGTCCAAATACAAGTAGCAAATTTTCTTTACACTCTAGCCAATTAAGTTACATATTTGTAGATTGATTATACTCCCAAGTGTCTTCAGGTAGATTATGAAAGGCACATCAAACTATCCTTAAAAATAGCTATCACGAGCTATCATATTACCACCAAGAAGAATATATTCTGATATTAAATGTATTTTTCTTTCTAAAAGACTAGGGTCACTTTTTTTTTTAGTAATTTTTTTTTATTAAGGTTATAAAAGTTAACATCCTTGTGAAATTACAGTTGTACATTATTATGAGTCATGTTGTAGGTACACCACTTCACCCCTAGTGCCCTGCCCCCGCCCCCCTTTCCCCTGGCAACCACTGATCAGTTCTCTTTGTCCCTATGTTAACTACCACCTATGAATGGAATCATACAGAGTTTGTCTTTCTCTGTCTGGCTTATTTCACTCAACATAATACTCTCAAGGTCTATCCATGTTGTTGTGAATGGGACGACTTTGTCCTTTTTTATGGCTGAGTAGTATTCCATTGTATATATATACCACAACTTCTTTATCCACTCATCAGTTGCTGGGCACTTAGGTTGGTTCCATGACTTGGCTATTGTGAATAATGCCACAATGAAGATAGGGGTGCATGGAACTTCTGGAATTGCTGATTTCAGGTTCTTAGGATATATACCCAGTAGTGGGATGGCTGGGTCATAAGGTATTTCTATTCTTAACTTTTTGAGGAATCTCCATACTGTTTTCTATCGTGGCTGCACCAGTTTGCATTCCCACCAGCAGTGTATGAGGGTTCCCTTTTCTCCACAGCCTCTCCAACATTTGTCACTCTTGGTTTTGGATATTTTTGCCATTCTAACAGGTGTGAGGTGATATCTTAGTGTAGTTTTGATTTGCATTTCCCTGATGATTAGTGATGATGAGCATCTTTTCATGTGTCTATTGGCCATCTGTATATCTTCTTTGGAGAAATGTCTGTTCATGTCTCCTGCCCATTTTGTAATTAGGTTATTTGATTTTTTATTGTTGAGTCGTGTGAGTTCTCTGTATATTATGGAGATTAACCCTTTGTGGGATAAATAACTTGTGAATACTTTTTCCCAATTAGTGGGCTGTTTTTTTGTTTCAATCCTGTTTTCCCTTGCCTTGAAGAAGCTCTTTAGCCTGATGAAGTCCCATTTGTTTATTCTTTCTATTGTTTCCCTCATGTGAGGGGTTATGGTGTCCGAAAAGATTCTTTTGAAGCTGATGTCAAAGAGTGTGCTGCCAATATTCTCTTCTAGAAGACTTATTGTTTCAGGCCTAATGTTTAGGTCTTTGATCCATTTTGAGTTTATTTTAGTAAATGGTGAAAAAGAATGGTTGATTTTCATTCTTTTACATGTGGCTGTCCAGTTTTCCCAGCACCATTTGTTGAAGAGACTTTCTTTCCTCCATTGTAGGCCCTCAGCTCCTTTGTCAAAGATTAGCTGTCCATAGATGTGTGGTTTTATTTCTGGACTTTCAATTCTGTTCCATTGATTTGTGCATCTGTTTTTGTACCAGTACCATGCTGTTTTGATTACTGTGGCTTTGTAGTATGTTTTGAAGTCAGGGATTGTGATGCCTCCAACTTTGTTCTTCTTTCTCAGGATTGCTTTAGCAATTCAGGGTCTTTTGTTGCCCCATATGAGTTTTTGGATTCTTTGTTCAATTTCTGAAAGAATGACATTGGAATTCTGATTGGGATAGCATTGAATCTGTAGATTGCTTTAGGTAGTATGGACATTTTAACTCTGTTTATTCTTCCAATCCATGTGCATGGACTGTCTTTCCATCTCTTTGTGTCGTCGTCAATTTCTTTCAAGAAGGTCTTGTAGTTTTCGTTGTATAGATCTTTCACTTCCTTGGTTAAATTTATCCCAAGGTATTTTTATTCTTTTTGTTGCGATCATGAATGGGAGTGAGTTCTTGAGATCTTTTTCTGTTAGTTCATTGTTAGCATATAGAAATGCTACTGATTTATGTATGTTGATTTTATACCCTGCAACTTTGCTGTAGTTGTTGATTGTTTCTAATAGTTTTTCTATGGATTCTTTGTGGTTTTCTATATATAAGATCATGTCGTCTGCAAACAGCGAGAGTTTTACTTCTTCGTTGCCTATTTGGATTCCTTTTATTTCTTTTTCCTGCCGAATAGCTCTGGCCAACACCTCCAGTACTATGTTGAATAAGAGTGGTGAAAGTGGGCACCCTTGTCTTGTTCCTGTTCTGAAAGGGATGGGTTTCAGTTTTTGTCCGTTGAGTATGATGTTGGCTGTGGGTTTGTCACATATGGCCTTTATAATGTTGAGGTACTTTCCTTCTATAAAGACTAGGGTCACATTTTGCATTCTTTTTTTATAACAGCTTTAAGATAAGTAATTCAGGGGTCAGCCCCATGGCCTAATGGTTAAATCTGGCACACTCTGCTTCAGTGGCCTGTGTTCAGTTCCCGGTCATGGACCTGTGCCACTCATCAGTGGCCATGCTGTGGCAGCAACCCACATACAAAAGAGAGGCAGACTGGCACAGATGTTAGCTCAAGGACAGTCTTCCTTAAGCAAAAAAAAGAGGAAGACTGGCAACAGATGTTAGCTCAGAGCGAATCTTCCTCAACAAAAGAAAGATAATTCATATACCATAAAATTCCCCTTTGAAAGTGTACAATTCAGTGGGTTTTTAGAGCATTATGCAACCATCACCACTAATTTCAGAACACTGTTATTACTTCAGAAAGAAACCCTATGCCCTGGCAGCTGCTAATCTACTTTCTGTCCCTATGGATTTGCCTATTTTGGATATTCCATGTAAATGAGTTCATACAATACGTGGCCTTTTGTGTCTGGCTTCTTTCACTTAGCATGTTTTCAAAGCTTATCCACATGGTAGCACGTTTCAATACTTCAGTTCTTTTTTATGGCTAAAAAATATTCCATTGTATGGATATACCACATTTTGTTTCTGTATTCATCAGCTGATAGACATTTAGGTGTTCTTTTTTACGATTATGAATGATGTTTCTATGGACATTGTGTACAAGTTTTTATGTGGACATATGTTTTTAATTCCTTTGGGATATATCTACGAGTGGAATAAGGAACACTTCAAGGATAAATCAGCACAGGAATGAGAATAAGTTCAAAGATTTTTTTCACAGTGTGTCAAGCCCCCAAGACTAAAGGGATATTGGAAGGGGAAAATGAGTTCCCAAATAACAGAAGAGGCAAAGTCAGAATAATAGGTAGTAACAGTCTAGAGAAATGTTCATCTTGTCCTTGCCGTGGTTTAGGACATTTAATATGCGACTACTTGGAAATATATTTAAAAACACTAAGAAAATTATAAATCTGTCTTGTCTTGTATCTTTTAAGACACAAATTCTTAGGTTATCTTAGGATAGAACATATTAGTGTTTAATACTTGGTTAGTGATTTATGATTTCAATACTATAACTACCGCTCTGTATACACAGACCCAACTGTTATTAAAGGTTCTAAACTATATTCCAAAAATCTAAGTCACCCAAAATGAAGAGCATTACAGGGACTAAATTAGTTTAAGAACAGAGTTACAGAGATATACTTCAGAAAACTGGAGAATAAGGGATTTCTTCAGGAAATAAAAGGCCAGAATCTTAAACACTGGCAGACAAATTGCTACTTTCATCTGAGGACAAAAGAACTAACATCATTTGAGAAAATTACACTTAAAAATCATTTCTATATTCTTAACGTAAAGATAGCATGTTGTGAGTTAAAATAATCAGGCAGGACTTTAGTTTGAAAAAAACCGTCAAGCTCTTTGAATTTTTCTACCTTTAAGCTCAGACCTACAGTCAATTACAGCTGTGGGACACAGAATAACATCCCCTGTGTGGGGAACCTTTCCCTTCCGCAGTCCAGCTGAATCCATGCTCAGTAGCCATTTGGTACTAATTTCCCCAAGTTTCCAAGAATGAAAGTAGTAAATGAAATTGCAAAACTCACATCTAGGGTACTAGATAAATAATAGCCACTCTCTGATGGCTGTCACTTTTTAAAGCCTGGTTCTGCTTGAAGAATTACTTCAGTAGCAATGAGAGAGACGTGCCTTCCCACCTGTGACGGAACTGCCTGCTTACACTTGCACAGTGTTCCACAGAGACAGACTCTTTGGAGAAAAGACCAAAGTTTTGTGCAACCTATGGCTTTTATTTTTTATTACCAACACACAAAGGACATGAAAAAATATCAATTCTTTCTCTTTGACTCTCTGTCTCCTTCCTATTTCCAGGTGCTTTTACATAGGATAGAGAAATCATAGCCACAAAACAAATTCCATCCACTCCACTGAAGGTTGACATTTCAATGTTTCATTTGCAAAGAGTCAATAGTAAAGACATAACTATAAAAAGAAGGAAAACAGTTATTGCTTAAGTGCCTCCTTAGTTCCTGAATTTTTTCCCATAAAGAAAGAGTAAATGTGAGCCATATGCTATCACTGCAGAAAAGAGTTACTTTTTTCTTTTCATAAATTTTTTTGCTTCTTTCAAAAGCTCTTCCGTATCTTCCTTCTCTTGGTCTTCCTTTTCTGGTTCCCAGTCAGAATCTTCATCTGTTGGCTCATATTCTTCTTCCTCATCATCTAGAAAGCTGTCATTCAGGTCGTACTCGTTAGGCTGCCCAACATCATCATCTTCACCTGAAATGCTTCTCACTGAAAAATGGAAGTTTGGTACATAACATATCAATCCCACTCAACCTTGGACTGGAGAGGTCTAACTATAAAATGTCTTACTCCATCAAAAAGAATTAATTTTACTTAATACATATCTAACCACTACAAATTTCCAGAAAGGGGACTCAAACGACCATTTATTATTCATTATTCTAACTTCTCCTACCATGAGGCTCCTGAGACTAAAATGTCCCATGAGTAAGGGGCATAGTAATGGCCCCTTAATAATATCATAATTATATTCATGCTACCCTACCCTCTGGGGTGGTAGAATGTATTTTTGTCCCAGTTATTCACTGTCCCTTCTTGTGATATGATTCTCTATTTCCCCACCCCGACTGACAGCAGATTTGGCCACAGACAAGTGACTGCAGGTAGTGCACGCTGCTCCCGAGGAAGAGCTTTGCTGGGGCTCTGCTACTCCTGTTTGCCCTCTGCCAGGAGAACAGCACGGGCCAGACAGGGGCTGATCCTTCAGCCTGGATCCAGGATGAAAACACACTTGGGATGGGGCCACAGCCCCCATGCAGTTGTAATATGAAGGAAAAATACACCTATTTATTGTTGTAAAGCACCAAAATTTGGGGATTATGTGTTATCATAGCAAATCTAGCACAATTGGTTTGATACACCAGAGTCGTGACCAAATGAGAAGAGTTTACATACTTCGGAAAAGTTTAGTTTTATAGATCTAAGATATTCTTACAGTTAATGTTTCAGTAAGACTAGGATTACTATGGCACAATCATTAGAATTTACAGATTTCTAAATAATATTATAATGCTACAATTCTTCTGTCTCCAAATTCATTTCTTCTGTCATCCTGCTTTGTTTTCTTTTCTTTCCAGAGCTGAGCAACAGAGTTGGTTTAAAATAAGGCACTGTGAGAGTCCAGGGTGATGTGGAGCGTTTAAGAGACAAGTAGGAAGAGTCTATCCGAAAATCTTCTGAATGGCAGGGGACAAATTTAAGATACAAGATTTGCTGTTCTCTGTGATGAACAGCAAATGAATGGGTTAAAAATATTAATGCCTGCACTTTTGTATACGCTTTAGTTAATGTCTTCCTAAAATGTTCACACACAATAGACAGATGCAACTTAAATGAAAATCAAGGAATTTGATGAGGAAAAAGGGAGAATGATGACAAAGGAAGTAATTTATCTGTCTTCTTAACACCCACAGCCCGGTACATTTACATTTTTCTTAATACAACTACTTATCCCAGAGAGGATTTGAGACAGCTTATAATAATAATAATGAGGTAATAAAAAAATACAAATAAAAGTAGAAACTAAGAACATAAAAAGCAGAACATAAATATGTCAACCTCGATTTTTAACATAATTATTATAAATTGAGCATAAATTTCTCCCCGAGTTTCTTGGTAGCCAAGGCTAAAAAAGTCTACAACATAACTCACACAGTCCTCCTTAGCATAAGGAACACCAGCTCCTTCAGGGAAATCTTGCATTATACTTATTTGTATACCTATCTTATCCTCTGTAAGCATCTTGAGGGCATGTTTTATGTCGAGCTAATCTCAATTCCCCATATAACTTTTATGACAGAATACATTTAAAAAACATTTGGAGGGTAGTTTGCAGATGGGGAAGAGAGTGAGGAAGAAAGAACATCAATATCTCTATTCTTGTCCATTTTGCTCTTGGAAGTATCTCATATGATATAACTAATGACATCTCAATAAAACGCTTCTTTCAGATTCAGAATTATCTTAGCAGATTTACAAGAAAAACAGACATCAAGCTGAAACAACTCTGGCTCCCCCTCAGACGTTACTGGATGCTCTTTCTGGGTCTCCTTTGCTGGATCTTCCTCCTCTTCCCAACCTCTAAATTTTGGAATACCCAAAGTTTTAGCTGGGACCTCTTCTCTAACACATTCTTTAGATAATTCCATTCAATCTTATATCCTAAATGCCCAAATTTATATCTGAACCATCAAGTGAATTCCAGACTCATTTATCTCCTGCCTATGTATTATCTCTGTTTGGGTGAGTAACAGGCATCTGAAATGTAACATTTCTAGAACACAACTCCTGAGTTGCTTCACCCAAATCTGGTCATTCTTTTACCAGTCTTGAGTATATGACTTCTCCAATCCTCCAACCTTCAATTGTTTTGGCAAGAAACCTGGAGTCATCTTTGGATGTCCCCCACTGAAAATCCAATATCCAATAGGTCAAGAGATCCTAGTGGCTCTACTCAAAATACATCCGCCACTTCTCACCACAGCACTCTAATACCCTGGTCCAAATACTATCGTCTTCTCCCTGGCCTATTCCAATATCCTCATAACTGGTTTCCCTGCTTCCCCTCTAGTCTATTCTCCACAAAGAAGCCAGAAAACCTTCCAATATCTTTCTATCTCACTCTGAATAAGATCTGAAGTCCATACTCGTAGGTCTTGGCCTTCAAGACCCTATACAACTGGCCCATTGCTAACTTTTCTGATTTCATCTGTCATTCTCTGCTTACTCTCTTTGTCTCAATTCCACCTTCTCTTCACTGCTCCTTGAACAGTCCAGGCAGGCTGATCTCCAGGGATGCTGAAGTCACTATTCCCATTGCCTCGCATACTGTTCCCTTGGATAATAACCTGGCTTGCTCTCTTCTTAAGGCCTTTGTTCTAATATCAAATTATCAGAGTCCTTCTTTTACTATCCTATCTGAAATAGTACCTCTTCCCCACATACACACCCTTGCCATTCTGTCCTCTTACACAGCTTTATTTTTCTTCTTAGCAGTTATCACCACGTGACCTCACATAATTGTTTACACGTGTACTGTCCACCTTTGTAAAATTCTACAAATACAGAGCATTCTCTCTATTGTATCCTCAGCTCCTACATGTAGAAGGCACTTAATATATATATTTGTTGAATATATATGAATGGATGAACAAACAAACCATTTGCAAATCAAGGGGCTTTAAGCCTCAGTGAACCCTGGAAATCTTTAGCAACTTATTGGGCAGGCTCATTTGTTGAAACAATAAGGCCAGAGTAATCAGAAAAATCCCATTTGTTTCCTCAAAAAATTGTTTACACCTATAAAACTACCATTTACATTCGATGTTTAAATTTACACATTCATGTTCTTTTAATAGGAGGTTACGAATCTAACAAAACCATCCATAACAGAACTGGCTGTGGCTGGTAGTCAAATTTCATCCACTTTGTTTCACATGGACAGGCACTGTAACTGGGCTGTAAGCGAAAGCACGCGAGGAGCCAAAGTCACGACCCGGGGGGAGTCAGCTCCAGAATTCAGCTCTACGTCCTCTGTAAGAGGTGCCATGTTGACACTTCTTAAGAGGGTTTTAAATGCTGACATGAGATTATCTTTGTGGAATCAATTAATTAATGGACCCTCTTACAGCAAATTCAATTAGTGATTTTAATACTCCACAATACAAATGCCATCTAGATGGGAGTTTACCTTTTTTTGTTCAATTGCCGAAGGTGTTCTTAGAGAAACAGTTTCTGTCTTTCAGTGTAACTGGGTCATAAAGATAACAAGACTTTATTTACTTGGGAAATGCTCTGAATCAGTGTACTTGTTGATCTAAATTATTACACGATTTCCTGAATCATGGGTACAATCTCAGGAAGCAGGGTTCTGAAATAAGTATGACTAGTACCTAACATAGGAATTGGTCCCTGCCTTACATAAATGATACAAAGAAGGCAGAATTTGTTAAAGGGAAAAAATATTAGAGTTTGGAAACAGAAGGTACAACAGACTGATGTAAACAAGACCCATGGACATTTGATAGTTGCTTCTCTGGTGTCAATCTCCCTTCTCCCGTTCCCCTAACTTAAGTTTCTATTGGGGACCCCTGTGGTTCTGAAGAAGGTCACTCTACCCTGGTTCCAGGGGTACAAATCAGTGGTATAGTTATTGGTTCAAGAGTAAGAATGGGATCTAAGATAGTAAAAAAAGTGAATTTCATGATTTTTCCTAGGAATAGTGAGATCCAAAGTTGTATGTGTGTGTCTCTCTCTCTCCTTAGATGTAAACACAGGTGCGTATCGTCCCAGCTGAATAAGGACGCATACAGTCCCTTAGTGGGGAAAGGAGCCAGTCTGAGGATAATAATCACCTCTCTAAAGACAGCATTATGGAAGGAAATTGGGTCCTTGGTGACATTATTGACACTATTAATAATTAATAATTATTGACATTATTAATGAGCCAAAGCAACAAACTTTGTCTAAATCCAGCCCTACTTCTGGACTTTTTAGTTAGAGAAGTCACTAAGTTCTCATTATCATTTAGGCCAGTTTGAGATTTTGTTTTCAGTACATGCAAACAAAAGAATCTTAACAAATACAAGGATAAATACATATTGTTGGATAATGATTGTAGAAAACATCTTCTATTTAAAAAATTTATCATTTTTTAAAGAAAAATCACTAAAATTATCAATTCAACAAATTCACAGAGCAGATTAAAAAACTATTCACAATAACTGGAAACTCTATCTAGGTTTAACAGGAGAATCATTTGAAGGTTTCATTTTGAGTTTTCTGAAGTAAAATGACTTACTTGAAAGTGTACCATGTCTATATTCTATCTTGTGCTGGGGGTTCTTCCTGAAAAAAAAAAAAAACAAAAGAAAGCAAAAATAAGACCTAGTTTTTCAACCACTAGAAATTAATAAAACTATTTAAATTAAACGAGAACACTCACTAACCTACAAATAAAATTAATAAGCCTCTTATTCAAAAAATTTTTTTGCTATTGTTGTTGTAGACTATAGTCATCATGCTGTACAAAACATTTGCATTTGAATTACAATATTTATTGAGTGCCTACTCCATATGAGGCATATTTCTAGATGCAAAGATAGAGTGGTGAACCAGACAAAGCTCTTCCCTCAGGACTTACACTCTAGAGAAAGACAGTATGAGACAAATAAAATATATCACATTCCTAAAATACAATATATTATATTTCTAAAATGTCAATGTCATGTATCACATATATTAAAAAAAAAATGTAGGGGGGCCAGCCTGGTGGCACAGAGGTTAAGTTCACATGTTCCGCTTTGGTGGCCCGGGGTTTGCTGGTTTGGATCTTGGGTGTGGACCTATATGTACTGCTTGTCAAGCCATGCTGTGACAGGTGTCCCACATATAAAGTAGAAGAAGATGGGCATAGATGTTAGCACAGGACCAGTCTTCCTAAGCAAAAAGAGGAGGATTGGTGGCATATATTAGCTCAGGGCTAATCTTCCTCAAAAAAAAAAAAGAAGTAGAGGCTGGCCTCGTGGCTTAGTGGTTGGGTTTAGTGTGCTCTGCTTCAGTGGCCTGGGTTTGTGGGTTCAGATCCTGGGCACAGACCTATACCACTTGTCGACCATGCTGTGGTGGTGACACACAGACAAAATAGGGGAAGACTGGCACAGATGTTAGCTCAGGGCTAAACTTCCTCAGCAAAAAAAAGTAAAATAGTATATAAAATATATAACACAAAATATCAGATACGTGCGTGTGTGTGTGTGTTTAATGTCTAAAGGATATTTTTAAGGCTCTTCTTGAACCCAATACAAAAGCATTTAAGTCATGTCTCTCCAAAGAACTCCAATCGTTATGAGAAAACAAGAAAGTCAATTTGCATTAAGAAATTTATATGACATATTCCAAAGTCAAAGAGAAACTACTGTGTGAATCTCTACTATTGATTATATGTTCTTATGATCCCTATTATTTTATTTGTTAAATAAATGTTTGGGTATCCTATACATACAAAACATTCTCCAGACAATGCAAAATTGCCCAGGCAGCAAAACTCCAAAGCAGTAACTAGTTGATCATGATCCACCTGATGGGGACCTCGCAGGAGACTGACACCGGAAAGCTGGGGTACACTGTCAATAGGTAAGTGCAGAGGTACACAGCTCATATGAAGCTGTTGTGAGGATCCATGAGGAATGCACAATAAGTCCTTAGTCTAAGAGCATGGTAAGTTGTAAATAATTAATGTTAGCCATTGATCCATTCATCATTGGTTCAAGAAATAGTCACCGGGCAATTACTGCATGCCAGGCTGTGTGTCAGGTGTCAGTGACATTTCGTATTGCTAATATCTCTTCTTTTCTGGTAACTTTTCCTACAATATGAGTGTTAAACACAGTACAAGAGTGCAACCACACCGTTAATTAGGGTCATAACTCAACAGTTTTGCAAAGTGGAAAGAAGGTTCAACATGAAATTGTGTGTTTGGGGTAATTAACCCAAATTTGACCTTTTGATGGAAAAGAAACTTGTATGAGAGACATAAACTGGACAACTCAAATGTGATGAAGATAGCTGCACAGGAACAAACCGCAGCGATGACCTGCAGGAAGAGCGTGCCCCCGGACACCCGGCCCAGGTCGCCGACTTGTTCGCTTCAGTCTTTATTAAAGTACATTAACGCGGGACATCGCGGGAGGAAGAACAGAAAATGAGGGACACTAATACCAAAGGTATTCTTCACCAGTAATCTAGAAAAAGACTGCTAGCCATTTGAGATTATTTTCGGTAAACCTTTTTTTTATTGTGGTAAAATACACTGGTAGCTTTTTATTTTGAAAACATTTCAAACTGACCGAAAAGTGGCAAGATTAGTACACTGAAGTTCCATATACCTTTACTGAGATTCTTCAGGTGTAACATTCTACACGGATGCCTCGTTATTACTATCTATCTACAGGCATTTGAGAATTTAAGGCTTTTTCTCCACCCTTTTAAGATACGTTTGCTTCAGGCACCACCAGTCCCATTTTTCCCTGCTTTGCCCTTACCAGAGCAGGATTACTGAAAAGTTAAACATGGTCTTCATTGTTTGCTACTGGAGCCTCCTTCAAAAGCTGCTTTAGAAACTCCCAAATAAGTAAATGTCAAGCTTTAAAAACAGGTACAGAAAATGGAACCAAGAGAGTTAACAGAGACTCAAGTAGGCTTTATGCACCAAACGCCAGTTAAAAGACTGCTGACATCAGTTCTAGAAAAAGATTGAAAGCAAGAGTAACTTTTTAAAAATGCAAAGTGCAGACACAGTATCAGAAAATGGAGTGGGGAGACTGGTTCAGCCTTAAAGTTGCAAAAGGTAGTGGCCATTCTCTGCTGTCTTGGAACAAATCCACAACTGCTCTCGCCCGCTCATCTACACAATCTCATATCAACTAGGAAAAGGCAAGTCTTTTCAGAAGAAATGAACAGGAGAAAAGTTTTACACTTGGATATTCCAAAAAGCAAGAGTAGAAAAACGTATCATGAAAATTTGCACTCAGAACACGAAAAGATCTTCAGCTCCGTGTGCAGATTTTCATCCGCCTTTGAGGGGGAAAAGGTGTTTGAGGCTCTGAGAATAGTTTCCATCCTTTCCTAGAACTGGCTAGTTTCATAAAAAGACAAGTGTAAGACTGCAATAGACCAGAAGAAACTAGTTGAGTTGGTGCTTTTCCACATTTAACTTAGAGATCAAATTTCCAATTTAAAACAAAAGTATTAATTAATATCAATAAAGTTTTTGTTTGAAAATGAAGAAAAAAATATCATCTGTGACAGGTTCAAAAGTTCCCTGTTTTGGATAGTTTCAAATATTCTTATTTGTTGATGACAAATATCACTCTCAGAATAGACTTTATAAGAAAATGAGCCAAAACAGTAAAGATATCACATGCAAAAGCACATACTCAAAATAAAAACAAATTTAGATGTTTTATTTACATGGCAATTTAAATGTTAAAAAAACTTAAATATTCTGAATGTTAAATTCTTAAATTATACTGTCCTTCAAGGTCCCCCATAATCTCAGTCCCAACCTTTATTTGTGGCCCAATCCTTCATCTCTACTGTAGGAGAGGAGTTTTTGATTCTTTGCCACTGATAGGCGCTTGCTCACAGTCTTTTTGCCAAGACTACTCTTCTAACTGCCTAAGTTCAAATCATACCTCCTTCAGGAAGGCACCTCTGATCACCACTGGAAAACATCTCTAGAATGTATTGTCTTTCTCTACCATTTGGTACTTAATTTCTTATACTGTCATTTAAATGTTCAACACAAAAGTGTGTGTGTGTGTATTATCTCTATCATCTGTCAGATGAGCTGTTGGAGGCCATGGGGTTTTTCTTACCTCTTTTAATATATTCTAAAGCACTTACAACAGCACCTTTTATAAGGGGACATTCAACTATACTTTTCATAAATTAATCTATCTACTAGAGTACAATCAACTTTTTTCCCTCAAAAATTTTTAATTAAGCTTTTACATGAATTTCCAAAATGATGGACTCCTTTATATTTCTCTATTTAATAGGAAAAAAAGACATTTGTTTTTGCTACCTTTACTAATATTTCTTAAAAAAATAATTGTTCAAAAGAACTTGCAAGAAAATGTTCAATACAGATCACAGTTTAAAATTCTCATTGATCAGAGGACAAAAAAGTAGTTTCTAATAATTTCTAGACTGATAATGTTTTCTTGAGTTAATATTAATAATTTTTTTTAGTAAATCCTAATCTCTGGATCCTGATGTTTTCAGAAGACTATCCTTTGACACGCAGTTTTTCTTTGGAAATAAGCCAGAGAATGCCTATCCTCATTAGGTTGAAAGGAATGTCAATGTGCTAAAATTGCTTTGCACTCGCACTTAAAAAGTTAATCATCAAAGCACTCACTGACTCTTTTTACACAAACCTAAGACTAAAATATGTTAGAATTTCCTGCCATTAACAATTTATATTACTTCCCCAGGAAACAATGAAAATCTGACAATCACATTAAGCAGACTCCATTGCAATCAGGCTCCTAAGATACTGGCTGCTCAGCATCATAAGACACTTAGCTGGTCAATCAATCACATGGGGCAACAAGGAACACAGAGTCCTCGTATGCTTAAGAGACAGATGCCACTGTGTCTTGGACCTCTTCTCATCTGGCTTGTTAAACTTTCTATCACCAGCATTCTGTCGTGAAAGGGGCTCAGGTTCCAGGAGCAGAAGAGCTGAGTCTGCATTTAAACTACACTGTTTCCCGGCTGCACGTCAGAGGAAGCTCTGTGAACCAAGTCTCCACTTCGTCACCTGTGAAGCAGGGACGACTCCACCTACTTCCCACAGCGCTGGTCCAAGGGTCAAAGGAAGTCATGTGTGTAAACATCTGTAGGCTATTAAGCATTTACAGGTATCAGCTATTTTTATAGAAATAGAGATCAGTTTTACTTTAAGATAGCCAACAATGTCTGGAAACTCTATGTGCCAATAAAAGAAATTGCCAATTAACACTACATAGCTGAATTTTGCCTTCAATAATACATACAATTATTATGGTTAAATATTTCCTCGATCATACTTCACACATTTATAGAATATTTTCTAACATTTGCTTATGCATATCCTATTTTCAACCATACGTTATTTCATAACAAGGCAGAATATCTTTTTCATATAACCTTGTTTTAGGCAAAGTGGCAAGTCTGTACAGCTCTTTGGGGGCATTTGAGCATTTGAAATAACTTTCAAGGACAATGACAAATTCCACCCAGGACTTTTTTCCTAATAATGAATGGAAATACTTACTCAGAGTTCATGCATAAAAGACTTA